TTCCTGATCTTTTGCTTGGTTTCAGGAGCCTGGGGTTTCATCTAAATGGGAATGTTTCCCATTTTGCTGCTTTTACATTACCTCTGACCTCATAGATCAATCGCTTATCTTCATCTGTCCTGTGATGCTTCCAGGATGGCTCATTGTCTGCTTGTGTTGGACATGACTGAACTTTCTTCCTCTGAAACCCTTGCCTCACACTCCCTCTGAATCATTGTCAGCAGCTTCATCTCACTGCTTTCTCAGTCACACAACAACAGCTTGGCATCATTTTTGTTGGCTTACTGAACTTTTCACATTACTCTCCATTTGCCCTTTATTTTATAAATTATTTTTTAGACCCTTAACTTTCATTTCTTTTTGTTCTGTTTTGCTTTGACTTTTTTTTTTTTTTTTTTTTTTTTTTTTTTTTTGGTACTGGGGATTGAACTCAGGTCCTTGTGCTTGTGAGGCAGGCGCCGGAACCACTGAGCCAAATCACTGGCCCTTGCTTTGATTTCTTAATTCAGTAGAGATTTGTGTACTTACTGAGAGACCAAACAGTAAATACATTGTGTGACAAGGCTCTCACCCTCTATTGACTTACAAGCTCCTTCTGGGGTTAGAGCAGGAGCGCAGGTGAACTACAGAGCCAGGAAGGTCCCATAAAGTGAGCACTAGGTCACTGGTGTCTACACTGTCACTAGGAGTCAAGCAGAAGTGCTTTCTCAGCAGGAATAATCAAAAGCAGTGTGTTGGGCTGAGGCTGTGGCAGTGAAAATGAGAACAGTAAGGATGATCTAGATGTTGTACTTCAACATGGTATAATTTAAATTGCTGTAGCCATAAAGAGTAAGATACTTGAAGAACTTGAGAAGGTGATCCTAAGAAAGAAAGCATGATATATTTTGCCCATGAACTCCTTTTACAACTGTCTGTGCTAAGTGCTTTTTATCTTTGCTTTGCATGCTCATTTTCTAGATACAACCCTCTCTGTGTGTTCTTTTGACTGCCTGCATCTGTCAGAGCAGCATAATTTCCCTATTCCTGCATATGTGGAAGGAATGCAGAATTTGGAATCTGACAAAGTCCAGTTCCTAGTTCAGACATCTAATAGCTGTGTAAATTGGAGCAGGGTGCTTAACCTCCTACTCTTTGTTTCCACATTTGTAGGATGGTAAATTTATTTATTTTTATTTTTTGTCTTTTTTGAGACAAGGTCCTGCTGTGTAGTCCAGGCTGGCCTTGAACGCATAGCTATCCATTTGCCTCCGCCTCCCAAGTGCTGCGATTACCATCATGCACCAGGACACCTGGCCTAGAATGGTAAATTTACTTGGATTATTTAGAAGATAAACATGATGGATGCCAGACACACAGGTTCAGCAGGATGACAAATGGTGGAAATTTTTAGTATCTTTTTCTTTAAGCTAGTAGATGACTGTGGACCACAATAAGCATTATAATGAACATCTTGAAGCATTGTACTGCTTCTAATTTTAGAATATTATAAAAAGTAGTTGCAGGGCATAGTGGTGCCCGCCTTTAATCCCAGCACTCTGGAGGCTGAGACAGGAGGATCGCTGTGAGTTCGAGACCAGCCTGGGCTACATAGAGAGTTCCAGGTCAGTCTCAACTGCATAGTGAGACCCTGTCTCAAAAACCAAACAAACAAACAAAAAGTAGTCTTAGTGAGAAAGCTCATGATACATGTTAAAGTGCTAGATTGATTGTACATGATGCTCCGGACATGAATGGAAGACTACTCAGTATTTTAAATAACAAAGAAATCGTTCCAGTAAGCCCAGAGATCACTTCCTGGTCTTCTGGTACAAGTGGGGCTCAGTCTTCTCCAACTCTCTTTTTGTGTGTGTGTGTGTGTGTGTGTGTGTGACTGTCCTTAAACTGCTGTCAGTGAATGTAGCAGTTCTGTGTGTCTCATCCAGACATGACACTTTGCAGCAAACAGAAGAGGCTGTCTCTTCCAGTGTATCATCTCTAGTAGGCTTTCTTATCCTCAGCCTTGTTGATGGGTGAGGCAGATCATTTTATTTGTTATGGGAAAATGTCTGTGTTTCAGGATGTTTCTAGTAGATGCCAATAGCATTCTAACCTCCACCAGTTGTAACAACTAAAAATGTCCGCACATACTGTCATTACAGGAATTTGAAATACAGGAGTTTGGAGGCAAAGGAGACCTTTATCAGGGGAGGAGCAGTCCGTGATAAGGCAGTCAGGAAGCAGCAAAACAAAGCCTGCCTTTCCGTTTTATCCCACTCAGGCTACCAGTCTTTTGGGAGGTGCTACCTCTACCCCTGGTGGGGCTTCTATCTTTAGTAAATCCATTCTGCCACACCCAGACCTATGCCAGTTCCAATCAGTGGGCTAATTTAATACCATACACCCTTAATCCCAGTATCACACAGTCTAGATCCAGCCAGGTCTGAAAAGCCCCACCTGTGAGCATGTGAGACTTTGGGGACACATTTAGATAAAAGGCATAATAGTCATCTTTATAGATCAGATTACATTACTTTTTGAAAGCCCTTATTCTGGCCAAAGGAGGCCTATAAAGAATTCTTTTGTTCAGATGTGATTGCCACAGCATTATCCTTAACACACAGTTTCTTTTTTTGTTATTTTTATTAGTATATATTTGTGATACATAGAGATTACATTTAGCTTTTGATCCATATACATATAGCTTTTTTTTTTTTTTTTTTGAGACAGGGTCTCACTATAGTTGAAACTGACCTGGAACTCACTAAGTAGTCCAGGCTGGTCTCGAACTCGCAGTGCTCCTCCTGCCTCAGCCTCCCGAGTGCTGTGATTACAGGTGTGTGCCACCACACCCCTCTACATATAGCATCTTGATCATTTTTACTTCCTCTCCCTCCCCTCTTCTTCCTTCCCCAAGGGGGAGTTAGATGGTAAGTTTTATGTTAGTGTGAGTCGGTGTCACATATCAGTGCTTCAGTCATCAGTGGACCAATGTGTATGATGGTGGTCCCGTAAGATTGCCTGGTGACCTTGGTTCCCTTTTAGTTTGTATAAGTAGTCTATGATATTTGCACAAGTTGAAATCACCATTAACACATTTCTTAGAGTGTATCCCCATCATTAAATGATGCATGATGGTATTTTACAGTTTAAAAAAATGATGTAAATCCAGTTGCATGGAGAAACTTTGTGGAACATCACATTTTCTTGATATGTCTCAAATATGGACAGTGATTAGCCGGCATGAAACCTCAGAAAGGCATAAGTTTCCATACCATGTTAAATCCATAATGTTTAATTCCTCATAGTTTAGAGAAAATAGAATACTCAGTGTTGTCCTTCTGCATTGCAGTGGGTCATCTGTGTATGTCCCTAGGGAGGATGCCTGCTGGAGAGAGACCCTTGGTCTGGTGCTTATTTCCTTGTGGTTAGTTTGATTGAATATTGAGGAAGTGCACAGATAATCCTAAAGCTGTAGTTTTCCTTTACTTATGTGTATTGTTAATGGTATGCTAATTACCCTGACCTTGTGCTTTCATGACTATTATTTCCTATGCAGATCTGCTTTCTCATTCATATTTCTGTGGCATTTTATATCACCTATTTTCATGAGTGGATCCCATTGTATTTTCAGTGTTTACATCGATATTTCTTCTCCCTCATTATTGAGCAATGTGGCTTGGTTATGTACTGTGTTCCTGGCACCTGGCTGTGCCATATAGCACTCTCTCACTAAATGCTTTTGTAAGTGATTGAAAATAGAACTCAGACCAAACTTTGTCTAGTAGTCCATAATCCAGTGTAAATGGTATCTCCACTAGTCTCTCCTCTTCATAATTTTGGTCATAATTTTTTTAATGTAATTTTGGTTTTTTCTGGAGACCTAAATCATGTCTTCAATGCCAGTAGTCTTTTTCCGTATGAATATTTGGCATAAGGAGGACATGAATATTAGTTGCATTTGCATCATATACTTCTTCCAGAATAATTATTGTAATTGATGTTGCAGTGTTGATGGATTTGTTAAATATTAACTGCCTAGAAACCCTACTGGGGATGCCACAGCACTTCTCTGGAACAAATGGTTTGGAGGTTTCTCTGGGTCATTCTGCCTTGGCTGCTAGGGCAGTTGTTGACTGACATACAGTAGCCACATAATCTCAGAAACGGAGTGGCTGGCTGCTCTGGGGTTGATGTGCATCTTTGTTTGGTCTCTGCAAGATCAGCTCAATATTTATTCAGTCTTTGATGGTTCAGGAATTGCATACTGAGAAGAGAGAATTCTGAGAAAGGAAATCATATTAACCAAAAGGTCTAAAACAGCTTTGTAAGTCCAAATACTAATTTATAGTGGTAGATGCGTATTGCTCAAGAGCTTCAATCTCTTGTCTAAACCAGTGAAGACCCTCCTGATGGGGCCTAGCCTCAATTTAAAAACAGAATATTGCTTGCTGAGTAAACAATCAAGTAAGCACTCTTTTGCTACCATTGTCCTGTGAGCTAGCTACATATTCCTAGGGACCTGGCTGGGCCTTTTATTTAGGGGAAGGAAACATTTTTCTCTTAAATGTCTGCAGGACCTTCAGACTCAAGCCACCTTGGCCTATGGGAAGAGGCAGCTGTTCTTGCCCTTCTACGTCTTTTCTGATGGTAACTTGTCAAAAAAGCTTATCATCGGGCTGGGGATTTAGCTCAGTGATGCCATGCCTGCCTAGCAAGTGCAAGATCCTGAGTTTGATCCCCATTACAAAAAAAACAAAACCAAGAAAAAAGCTTGTTATTGCTGGATTCCTATAGAGGCAGAATGGATTATGGAGGATTGTTTATTTCATATTCGTTAATGAGGGAATTGGATAATACTATTTGAATTCTGTCATTCCACACGAGATCCATTATAGTTTGGAGCTTTCTGTTCCCTCTGATTCCTGTTACACTCCACAAAGGGCTAATGTTTAGCCTTTTCCACTTCCACCGAGTGCTTTCTTTGGACATACTGACTACAGTCCCTCTTTTTTCTCTAGGGTCATCTAGTAGCAGGCACCCAAATCAGGCAACTCCAAAAAAAAGTGGTTTAAAAAATGGCCAAATGAAGAACAAAGATGACGAGTGCTTTGGGGATGACATCGAGGAGATGCCAGACACTGATTTTGATTTTGAAGGAAACCTGGCCCTTTTTGACAAGGCAGCTGTGTTTGAGGAGATTGATACCTATGAGAGGAGAACCGGTACCCGTTCTCGGGGCCTCCCAAATGAAAGACCTGCTCGGTACCGCCATGATGAGAACATTCTGGAGTCGGAGCCCATTGTCTACCGACGGATCACAGTGCCGCATAGCTTGAGCAAGGAGTTCTATACAGGTGAGTGGCACCTCGTCCCATGGACTGCTCTGCTCATCTGTTAGGTTTGAGATACAAAGACCCAGTCTGAGTCAGAATCTTGTCCTAGGAATTAACTTGAGTGGCTGGGTTGTTGGTACAGTGTTAACTGTGTCTTGGGGACGCAGCCACTATAGATAGCACTATGGAGGGGCAGTTTCTTTATGTGTCCATTTATACCCTGGACTTGGCAGCTGCTGTTTATTTGGTATGTTGTGATTAACAGTTCAAGGCCAAGAACTGAATATCTAGATTCAGAGAGTCTTCCCTGATACTGCCTGTATATTTCACCAAAAATTGCTTTCTGTTTTACTGGTTATTTACTGGAGCAAAGTATAGTTGAAGTTGGATGATTGACACCACTGGCTAAAATTAAGAGTTTCAGTGAATTATATTTTCTTGCTGTGCACTCCTTATCCCTTGCCAGCCCTGGTCATTGTGAATTTAGCTAGTACAATTTTCACATAAAGTAGTGCCTTGGCAGTTATGTAGGCCACTTTTCATACCTCAGTGAGTTTTAAGCTGCTTTTCTAAGCATTTTCTTCAAACATACAGCCTGTGAAGCAGCTGTAGCAAAAGTGGTCCACCTCATTCCTGTCCCATCTTTTTCCGCAAAACCACATTATTAACTGGGCTTCTTGGAAAACGGTTTACAGACATTTATACTGAGCGATCCTAAGAGCTAATGGCGAAATTATAATCATTAGTAAGTAGAGGAGAGTATATTTTGATTTTGGTTTGAAGGGGAAATAAATCTTTTTTTGGGTTTTATTTTGTTTTTAAGACAAGGTCTCACTATGTAGATCAGGCTTGTCTTGAACTCATTGTGTAGCCCAGGCTGGCTTTGCACTCATGGCAGTCTTCCTGGCTCAGCCTCCAGAGTGCTGGAATTGCAGGTGTGTGCCACCACATCAGAGGGAAGGTAAATTTTGAATGATTGTAGTTGGTAGAGAGTGAGTTAGAGTAGATGGTGTAATTGCATCTAAAGGGGAATCAAATGGCTTTTAGTAGACAGCATAGGGCTCTGTTGTTTTGAATGAGTTTAGAACTTTGCTTGTGGATGCTTTCTTTGTGAAAACTAGACTAGGAAAAACTATGAAATTATTCCATGGATGATTTCTTTCACTAGAGGACTCTGGTGGGCATGCCTCTTTAATAAGGACATTTCCTTAAGTGACAGTGTGACTGTGAACTCTGTCAGTTTTGACCACCTGTGTAAGGACAAACAACCTCCTTCAGAATCAGGCTTAGTTAGATCAGTAGGTCCTAAGCTTTTCAAAGGCAGTTACTGTCCATTAGGTACACCATTCCTGGACCCACCACTGTCCCCTGCTGACCTCATCCTCATCTATCCCTCAGTTGTAAAGGAAGGTGCTCCTGCTGGTAGCTGTCTGCATCTGTAGTATATGTGGTACTGCCAGGGTTGCTGAATTACGCAGTTTGTGATTTCCTGAAGATATGTACACTTCAAGAATTCCCTAACTTGGGAAAATTGTCATTTGCCTCGGAGTGAAGTGGCTAAAAGGGTGAGAATAACAGAATCAAGGATATTTCTCAGTTGTAAGAGCCTGAGAAAACATTTGCTAAAGTAGATGAAAGAAGAGGTGAAAACTTCTAATTATTACACTTCACCTGCCCAACTTGATCTTCATATCTCTTGTTTTTCATGGTGGAAGCAAAAGTTTCTCTTCATATGAAACTATTTACTAAAATTACTACCAGTAAACATACTACAAACCACTCACATGCTCTTGGTCCTTGGTCAGCAGCACAGGTGTGGCATCTTGTGGGCTAGTGACCAGTGGCATTCAGCTGGCACCTGACTGTGGGGACAAGCAACCCTGCATTGTTGGGTTTTCTTGCTGACAAGGAATGGAAATACAGCCCTTTTGCCAAGCAGGGTCTTGATGAAAATAGAGCAAGTGGCAGTTATGTTCCTGGCAGCTTCTCTACAGCTGATTCCCTATTTGCTCCATTTCCAAGTCTCAGACCTCAAGCACAACTACCAAGCAACCCTTTCCTTTTTAGATTTACTATTCAAATGTTTGAGTCCGAGTAAAGCAGCGTATCTGACTATTTAGAAAAACAGTCTGTAGTGTTAGGTTGCTTGGTCACCTAGTGCAGTTTTTTCTTAACAGACAAGGACATGAGACCCAGAGAGGGGTGTGTCTCCTTTTTCTCTTCTGAATGCAGGTAAACTGAGGTGGAAAGAATATAATATAAAAGGACAGAGCAAGGCCAGGGGCTTAGCTCAGTGGTTCCACTGCCTGCCTTGCAAGGGCAAGGTCCCGAGTTCAGTCCCTGGTCCCCCCTGCCCTCCAAAAAAGGACAGCAGTTTAATGATGATATAGACCATCTTTTCTCTCTCTCTGCTCTTGCTCCAAGATGGACCACTGTGGATCAGCAGTTTCCAGGAGCAGCTGGACAGCTCTTGGGGCTGTCCTGGAATACTAACTACTTTGTTTTCTCCTAATCCCCAGAGTAGCAAAAGCACATCTCTTGTCACCCATTGGTGGGCAGCTGTTAGGGTAATCATATTGATTCCATGCTGGGGGTGTCAGCAGTTTCTAAGCCTTTGTCCAGTAATTGCTCAAGCTTTCCTTGGCCATATTCTCTGTCAGCCGTGGCGGTGGTGATGGGACTGTGTTCTAATGGGCCTATTGATTGGGAAAACACATTCAGGAAGAAACTAAATTTAGTTCTTCAACCCAAATCTATTTTCTCAGAAAGCCCTTTAGTCCTTTGGCAGGGGTGCTGTCTCCAGGCATTCCTCTAGCTAGGGCCTGCCCTGTAAAATTAGGTGTCCAGCAGTCACCCCCTGAATTGACCAGGATCTCTCTGGATCCAGACTTGTATTTTTAAATTCTTGGAAATAGGCTCTGTGTACATGTGCAGACTCAAGCACCTAAGTTACTGTGGTCTAAATATAAAGGGCTTGGCACATGTGAGTGTTGTGTGTTCAGTGATGAGAGGTCCCCAAAGAACACAGCTTGAGAGAGTGGTAATGCTTCAGGGCAGAATATGCCCCACTATCATGGTATTCTAGAAGGCATACTTAACCACACTATGTTTATTATGTGGAAATCACTCTGAGGCCAACCTCGCCTGCCTGTCATTAAATGTAATAGGTAATGGAAAGATGGCCTAAATACCCACAGTCCAGCCACTCAGTGCCCAGGTGTGGAGAGGCTGGATCAGGATGGATGCCTTGGAGCATGGGCAGGTTTCACTGCCAGAGGGGAAGAGGAGGGTATTGCTGGGTAGCTTTGTGGGAGGTTGGTCACTAGTGGGTTTGGCCAAGGGTGTAATTTGTGTGGACCAGAGCACAGAGGGCCTCCTGTGCCAGTGCTGTTCTTGTCCTCCAGCCATGGGGAACACATGAAGGGTTTGAGTGGGAACATTACCTGACCTTAGGAAGACCAGTCTCATGCTAGGATTCGGGCTAAAAGAGGGGAGTCCCCACATAGGTGACATGACTGACACAATGGTTTTCGGTGGCTGACGGGGAAGGGGAACAGATGTGAGAAGTGATGAGCACTCAGCAGGCTGTGTCCGTTGGAAATGGGTGAACGGTGGTTGTGTGAGCAGGAAGATTCCGAGGCAATGAGTTTGTGTGGCAGGAAGAATGGCAGTGAGGTTCCAGCTGTCGTTATAGTGTGTGGTTTTGTTTTTATTTATTTTTTTTTTAAATAGGGTCTTGCTCTATAGTCCAGGTTGGCCTTGAACTTGGATTTCTTCCTGCTTCAGCCTCCCAGCTGCTGGGATTACAAGCGTGTGGGTTTGTAGAGGACGAAGTTGGGAGTATTTGGTGATTATGTTTTTCTTCTGCAGTGTTTTGTGGCTGAGCCCAGAAGAAACAGATACATAATAGAATTGCCATACTGGGATAGAGAGGTGAAAAGCTTCAGCAAGGAGATCTCTGTAGAGTCTGGGACTTGAGAGTTAGGGGGCCACAGGAAGCCTGCTGAGCCTGCCTAGTTCCCCATAAAGTGAGGTAGATGAGAGCATCGAACAGTAGCTAGCACAGGGCCCAGTTTAAAATGGTTACTAAACACGTGACTGCACATTTGAATTGTGAAGCTCCTCCTGTAAGGCTGTTTGAAAGCATCAGCATTTACAGGATACCCACTTGTGTCCTAGATACTATATACTCAACCACTGGGAGCCCTGTTCTCATTGCAGAGGCCTTGAAGTGTGAGGCAGACACGCTTTCAAACCTTCAAACCAGATAGGTAGCTGTGAGGGGCAGGTGGGGCCCTTGTTCGGCAGCAGCAGCAAACAGCCAGCACTCAAGCAACATTCTGAGCCCTTTATGTGCTCCTGTCAGTCTTCATGTCATTTCTTCGAGGAGGGATTGTTGGGTCTGTTGTGCTCTCTCCCTTTCGCTGAATCTCAGTGTTCACTAAACTTTTTTTACCCTGTACTGAGCATTTAACCTAGAAACTTCACTCTGAACTATATCCCTAGCCTTTTTAAATATATTTTGAGAGAGGGTTAAGTTGCTCAGGCAGGACTCAAACTTCGAATCCTCCTGCCTCAGCCTCCCAGACTGTTGGGATTGCAGGTGTGCACCATCATAGCCAGCTGCACTAAACCTTAAACTTGTGACTTCAGAGTCATTTGAGTTCTGTGTTCTGTGGGGTTTGGTAAATTCTGTGTTGACAAGTGCTTCTCTCAGACTATTTATGAACCTCCATTTGTGTCCCACTCTGTTGGACTCTAGTCCTCAAGTACAGTACAGAGAAATGCAAATGGGAGGCGCTGCTGGCTCTGGTGCAGCTGTCTTATCCTCTGTGCAGAGGACGACTCATTCTGATGGCGATTCCATGCTGTCTGCTGGCACCTGGGAGGCTCCAGCCTCAGTCTGAGTGCAGTGCTCCAGGCTGGGCTTCACTGCCTCTCTCAAGGGGAGCAACTGCTGAAGCCACTGGTGGTAGTTCCTGCTGCTTCGTAGCTCTACTCTTCTCCCTTTGCCTAGTGAA